TCGTGATGGCTATTTTGACGCATGTGCAGACAAGGTACACCCTGACAAAAGCTGCTACAATAATGTACTTTCTGTGCTAAATTCTCACTCTTGAGATGCAGCCACCTAGTGCTTTTCAAACCACAATTATTCCTTTGATCATTGCAAGATATTGTCAACTGCTTATTGAAGAAATTTTACCTATCAGGAGTTATGGAAACTTGAAACAAGTTTTACTTGTTTCATTTAAGCAAATTTATAGTAATAGTTCACTAAATTCACAACTAAACTAAGTTTAGTTGTGAATTTTAACGAGAGTGACCTCTAATTCTTAAAAAGTGTTATGTAAACTTTTTATGCTATTTATGTTTGAATTTTGTGTTTACAATTTCAGGTTGCTTGAAACCAATGTATTGAATATATATATTGTTTGTCAGTGCTGATGTCTAAGCTTTGCACTGTCACGGACTGCGGAGGGACAAGGGCCTTTGTCAGGCTGTTCGCCTTTAGCCCTTTGCCCCTGCAGTGAGCTCTGTATCTGGCTTACTGTAAATAAAAATACTACTACTACTACTACTACTACTACTAAAAATAGTAATTTCTTGTGTAATTTCTTCTTCCAGCAACCACATGATCATTCGACTTTGTCATGACAGTCTGACTGTATCATAGTGCTGAGTGCGAGTCCTCAAAATTCAATAATGATGATGGTGCGTTAGATTACACTGTACAGAAAGGCAAAAAAAAGAAGTGCATATACGTAACATTCACCGTTTCTTTTCCTATATATATATACCAAGTAAGGGTGCGCAAATATTCAGACTATCGAATACGTTTCAAATAGTGTTTGCTATCTGATTTTTCTTGCATTGGAATTTCACTATACGAAGTATTCAAACTTCCCAACAACAAGTACAGTCAATGTCCAATCAACAAAGACCCCTTCAAATTTTTTAATGCTTCACCTCATCACACTTTTGCATTGCAGCAAAGCTGCCTTTCAAAGCCTGCTGTGGTTGTAAATGTATCAAATCAAGAAAACGCTGGTTCGCACATGGCAATGATAGATGCGGCAGAGCAGGGGGTCCTTTTAATGCCGCTTTGAAGCTTCGATTTGCGTTGAAAGTGCATGGATGCAGAAATATTTAGCTCCCAAAATTATAGATGTTCCTATATGTTGACGTCTATGAGGCAGATTAGGAACTTAGAATTCGAAGGGAGTGTGCTCTTAACCGCCAAATCAGTTGGGCCTCCACAGAAGTTGAAGGACAGGAGAAATGAAGGAAATAGAATCTTCTCCTTTCACGTGTAAGGTGTTGCGATGAATAAGTACAATTCGGCTGCTGTATTGCATCATTCGTGATAAAAAACTAGGGAACACCATAAACACTTATATATTTCTATCTCATAAAATGTGCTCAGAGATCCTGTGCAACTTTTCTCAGTAATTTCACTTCGAAGTATTCGAAAAACATTAAACAAATGTTTACGGGTGAGCACATGTTCAAAATTTCGAATATTTTTCTAAAAGCGCTTGCTATTCAATTCGATTCCCACTAGCTCTTAACTATTCAAATCATTCAACTTCCTTAAGACAAACACAGTCAACATTTACTTAGCTCTTCCATTACCAAATAAAAATGGTCATTTTTTATATGTCTCAAAAATAGTTTTTGCCACTTTATTTTCAGGGCTCCAGCACGCATTGTAAACTTTGCACAATGAAATGTTTTTTAAAAAATTTATTTTTAGAGCAACAAAAGCATTTTGAAATGAATGCCTATATAAAAAGTGTATAATTTTTCGTTGCCAGCTGGTAAACACTGCAATAAAAAACACTATATGTGCAAAAATATTGAACAAAAGAAATTCGAAAATACATTTTGAAGATAAATGATGCAGGAACAGTTTAAAAAATAAAATAAATTGTTTCTATTCACATGTACAAAGAAAATTGCAAGCGAGGTGCTGCTTCATTACACATGCTATGCAGTGAAGCATTGCTTGAATTTTCGGGAGACACAAGTGAACTTGTACACTGTTTTTCAGCAAATTTCAGTTTTCTTGCAATAAGAGCTTGCAGGTATTCCAATATAGATAGATGACCGTGACTTGAATAATCTTTCTATAAAAAAGATGTCCAATGAACTTCAATGTTTCGTCTAGCGTCTCTCTTTCCATAAGCCACACCCCGCCACAATGGTCTAGTGGCTAAGGTACTCGGCTGCTGACCCGCAAGTCGCTGGATCAAATCCCGCCTGCGGCGGCTGCATTTCTGATGGAGGCGGAAATGGTGCAGGCCCGTGTGCTCAGATTTGGGTGTACGTTAAAGAACCCCAGGTGGTCAAAATTTCTGGAGCCCTCCACTACGGCGTCTCTAATAATCAAATGGTGGTTTTGGAACCTTAAACCCCACATATCAATCAATCCATGAGCCACCTTACTCTGCCTAGGCTGGCATTTCAATATACACATCCAAGCATACTTTTTGGATTTTGCACATCTCACTAAAAAAAGAACAATATCACACACAGTTCTAAACAGTTTCGCACTGCTCCGTAGTCAGGGCCAAGATGTGCTCCAGTGGCCTTCTTGTCGCAAGAAGCTCTGCAGTCGGCGTCAGCACACCGCGCTTCAGCGACCTGTGGACCTCGTAGGTAACCAAAGTGGCTATCAGATTGCGTAGAAAGGTCAGCAGCTACGCATTTGTGGTGGGGGAGACAACTTAAGGCCATGAACAAAACAAACCCATGAATGGCTGCAGATGTCTCAGGCTGATAGAAAACATCATTGCCATAAAACTTGAAGCTGAGGTGCTGTCATCCTCGAACTCTAAGCTCGTTGTCACTCAATTTAGATGCGGTTTCAAGACAGTTTCGAGCAGCGCGGGTTTTTTCGCAGTGCAGATGCGCACCCATGCACATGCCACGACGATATTGTCACGGGGTCGTGACGTGGCCAAAGACAGGAGACTTCGTGTTGGGATTTAACTGTTTATTTGGGCGAAACTGTGCTCGGTAAACGGAAAGTCCAATTACAGCAGCAGTCTCGCACAGATAGCAGTCTCGGACTGATAGCGGCGAACGGAGCGTCGGCCTTCGATCAACAACTGACAAGCGGCGAAGCGCGTCGGCATTTATACTCTTGCCGTCGAATGTTCTAGCGTTATCGCTGGCGGTGGCGTAGGTTCCAGAACAATCTGTACCGTTCGCACAGTGGGCGTGATCTTATCGAAATGATCTACTACAGTCCGGAACCTTCTCGAAAACTGCAGACGCGGTTTGCGCTGAGAATCGTGTGGTGTTTTGGGACGATAACAAAAACTTGGGAAATGGAACGTGGCAATATAGGAGCGACTAGTGACACTAGATGCGGCCCTGTGTCTGATACGATACAAGCAAAACCAAACCTGCTGGATACTGGCTGAGAAGGCCACCTCAACACTTTACATTTGCAGCGAACCTTCGGAAATAATTATTGTAAAATAAGTTTTCCCTGACTCCTTGCAACAGCTCTTTATTGAATAGATGGCATAAATTTCTGGCAATTATTATTGCTCAACACTGTCAGATTACCAAACTAACACTTTAATTTGATATTTAACATGAAATGGGTCTTTTGATAACAGAACTTTGATGTTACTGTAGCATAACCACAAAGAGCACGCAGCTCACCAACCTAGTGCATTTTCCCAACAAAACGCACAGATTAGTTCACGTAAAAGTCTGTCGAAAATCACCATGTTGCCAAAACGGGCTAATTCAAATCGATCTTGAAAGTTGACTGGCTGGACTAACTACCAGAAGTTCTGAGTGCATGAGAACCTAATAAACATGCCAAAAGCTGTGACCAAAAGCGTAGATCACTGGTGATCGATTTGAATAAGCAAGGTAATAAGAAAATTAGAAGTGACAGCTTCAAATTTTTAATGTGCTTCACATCATCACACTTTTGTATTGTGGCAAAGCTGCCTTTTAAGCTCCGCTACGGTTATTTTTTTTTAGACGCAATCAACGTAAAATTGAAGGTAGCTATAGCGCAAGAACAGAACGACGACAAAAGACAAGAAGAACACAAGCTCTTTGTCGTCGTTCTGTTCTCGCGCTATCTCATTTGTCATGTCATACCAACTAGCCCAAACTGCCACACTTGAAGGTAGCCCTTACAAATTTTCAATATGCTTCACCTCATCACACATGTTGCTGCAAAGCTCCCTTTCAACCTCCGCTACGGTTGGAAGTGGATCGACTCAAGAAAACTCTTGTTCTAACACAGAGATGAAGGAAATGGCAGAAGTGTGGGCTCAATTAGTGCTGTCATTGACCTGATATTTGGCAGACAGACTGAAAAACTGGATACCAAAGATTTTCAGCATCCAAAATTTCAGGTGTTAATAAATATTGACGCCTAAGAGGCAGATTTTGAACTCCAGAGAAGTACACCCTTGTCCAACACATCAGTTGGCCTGCAAGAAGAGGAGAGGCTGAGAAAATAGCATCGTTGTCTTTCAAGTCACGAGTAGACAACACTTTGGTTGCACCGAATCGCGTTCATAAATGCAATTCAGCCTTTGCATCGCTTCATTCTTAGTAACACAACCATAAAACACTACCCCGCCAGCGCTTTATCAACCCAGGTGAAAAGAGACACTTTCATATTGCTATGTCTTAAGAATATGCTTATGAATTCTCTTCAACGTTTTTTTCAGCAATTTCACTTTAAAGTACTCAAAAAATAACCTAGAAATATTATAAAACTATGCAATTCGATTCAAACCCATACTTCTATATTCAAATTCGCTTCACACCCCAAATTTTTCTATTCGTACCGTTCCAATACTAAGCTATCCTTATGATGACTTTTCCCAACATACATATGTACAAATAATAAATACTTCACAAGCATTTCACCATGTATTAAAACTGCCACTGCAAATGGCATCAAATGCTTTCTGGTCATTACAAGCAAGAGTTATAGCAATCTGTTATATACGCCTCTGCTTCTCATTGGTGGTGACTTGCCTTTGAGATCACTTGGGTCTGGTTTTTTAAAGTCTTCTTCAGTAATCAGTTGGTCTGGATCAACAAGGTCTACTTCACCATCAAGCATGTCTTGTGCAGACAATGACCAAATCTTGCCTACATCTGCAGATATAAAAGACACGTCATTACAAACAAGGTGCTAAATCCCACAGCCATGATATGATTCTTAGGCATGCCCTAATGGGGGATTTTAAATTGATTTTAACCATCTGGAGTTCTTTAACCCTTTGCGATACACAGTTGGGCCCCTCCTGACAATGCAACAATGCCACAGCATTTTGTTGTAAGGCACAACAAGCTGCCCAAATATTGCTGCAAGACTTAGGAACAACATAAACTGCGAAAAGTAACATCCGACGAGTTTTTCTTGTACAGCTGTTTTCTTTCAAGGTGGCTAAAACTCGTGAAATATTTTCGGACCAGAAGGATTTGAAGGTCGGTGAAAGTTTTGGACCACAAGGAATGCGCACTGGAATCTAGGTGCACAGGTGTTGCATCCTGCCCCCATCGAAATGAGGCTGCCATGGCCCAAAATGGAGCTCGCATACTACAGCTTAGCAATTCGACACCTTGTATACAAGCTACAATGAGCTTGGAACACACATTACACATGGGGTCTCTGCGTGTAAAAATCCTTCACATACAGCTTAGCAATTCGACACCTTGTATACAAGCTACAATGAGCTTGGAACACACATTACACATGGGCTCTCTGCATGTAAAAATCCTTCACATACAGCTTAGCAATTCGACACCTTGTATACAAGCTACAACGAGCTTGGAACACACATTACACATGGGCTCTCTGCATGTAAAAATCCTTCACATACAGCTTAGCAATTCGACACCTTGTATACAAGCTACAACGAGCTTGGAACACACATTACACATGGGCTCTCTGCGTGTAAAAATCCTTCACATACAGCTTAGCAATTCGACACCTTGTATACAAGCTACAATGAGCTTGGAACACACATTACACATGGGCTCTCTGCATGTAAAAATCCTTCACATACAGCTTAGCAATTCGACACCTTGTATACAAGCTACAATGAGCTTGGAACACACATTACACATGGGCTCTCTGCATGTAAAAATCCTTCACATACAGCTTAGCAATTCGACACCTTGTATACAAGCTACAACGAGCTTGGAACACACATTACACATGGGCTCTCTGCGTGTAAAAATCCTTCACACAAAGTTATTAGTACACAGTGGAAGTACCTCCAATCATGGTCATACACAACAATACAAGCTCAAATAGAAGTACAACAGACATTTTGAGACCCTTCTTTTGAAGGTGTCGTATAAGAAATCTTCTCCCTTAAGGGACCATGAAAGGATTTTTTTGTTTTGTCGACGTTTAGGCGAGAGCATCGTCAAATCATTTGCACCACAAATTTGGTAGCACACCGTGTAGAAAGGCCACTATGGACAACTATATCATACCCTCCTTTTCATCCCTGCCGTGCCTCCTCAACTCATGAGAAATGCTGGCATCCCTGGCGATCTCTCATGAGCACACTCGACAGTTTGAGCTCTGCCCAATCACAGCCTTGGAAATTGCACGCCAACAGGTTGCGAGCAATCTCAGAGACCATAGCCTAGTGCTCCCAGCAGCATGCATGCCATCTGGCAACAGAGACGAAGATCGCGAAGAGGTTGACATCTGCTCCGACAAGTGCCGCCACCTTACCAGCCAATCTTACTTCCGCACGTTACACAGAATATCAGACCAGCAGCCTGGTCAGGCTACCAAAGGATGTCGTACTATGAATGAGTGGTTGAATACGCGTTTGGCAGAACCTGCAGTTAAACATTAAATCTGTCTGTAAATTACCTTTAGTACTTTCTCTACCAGCCCAATTTGTTTTTGAAAAATTGGTATTGAATAACTTCTCATTGCTCAAGACGAGACATGTGTCTCCGAGATACAGCATCACATGGCTGCTCGCTCATAGCAACAAGCAACAAGCTAATCTGCAGCAACTTAGTAGAGCTGGAACTTAAGAAATGTAATGCTTTATTTGGTGGAGGCCTTCATACTGCATGACGCAAGTGTGCATTAAAGCGGTCGGCCAATAATATTGAAAACAATATGAACCACTGGGTCTGTCATGTGCCTCTGCGGGTGAAAACGGAATGGTAATTTTCACAAGCCAAGCGGAGCCTTGTATATTTTTATAGCCTCTTTTTCATGCGTACAAAACTAGCACCAGATCCCCAATAAGTGGCAGCTATTGCAGCATGATGTCACAGGCGGCCATGGAACTCTTAAAGCTGTCCATTCTGCACTTTTATGGCCAGTTTTCTTGGCATGCTTTATTGCTCGAGCCTATGACACGTCAAATAAAATGCTGTGGATTGATTGTACAGTTTCAGAGGTGTTGACCACATTCAGAGACACATTTTTTACCTCTTATGCAGTGTTGTGTAGGTACCAGAGGTAAAGAAATATCAGCATACCATTTTACAGCTGTCTTTGCTGGCGCTTCATGTTCTCTCTACACTTTGAAAGAAGCGTGCACACAACCAGCCGCGTATGCCCGCAGCCAGCTTCATATAACAAAGCAGTGGCAATGAGAATTCAGTTTTTCGCAAAAACCAGCAGCTTGGCGCTTGCCTTTCAGGTGTGAAGCAAACACACTCCAAGCTGCGGCTCTCACTGAGTGTAATCTCCCCAACAGCATGCAAGAAAATCCAGAAATTATAGCTAGTCGGGTGCTTTCGTGTTAAAGACGCCATGACACAGCCACCATACACTTCGCAGTTTTCAGGAAAAAATAGAAGTAGATCTTAGGGCCTGTTATGCCTGCCTATACATAAGACTGGAACGCAAAAGATTGTTTCAGTGCAAAACGAGCCCTAGAAGTCTCCGGCTATAAACCCCCCCACCACCAGCGACCACCATTTTGCCATGGCGCATGTGACGCCACATGATGCACGGAATGGAGCTGTCAATTTCTTCCAAAGTTCAGCCACTGAAAATTTCTCTATTTTAACACGAAGCTCAAGGAAGACGAAATACCTTGATTGAACATGCAGATGACCACGGAACAAGATCAATTGCCAGAATGCAAATGCTCACAAAGCAAGGAGCTTGTTGCACTATGGCTGGTGAGCACATCAGCGTTACCTAAGAAATCTCAGGCCACTTGCGTGTTTACAAAATATTCGATTGTACATTAAGTGTTTGACCAAATGCCATATCAGCCAACAGATAAATTCGTAAAACCCTCAAGCAGGGAAGGGGGGGGGGTTACCGACATTTTTTTTTTATTTGTAACTGTGATAGATTTGCCTTTAGTGACAAGCATAAGAATGTTTTACCGCCATAAGTCATATTGACGCACTGAATTATTTTCCCCCATTTTCAGCACCAAAAGAAAAAAAATTCCAAAAACAAGAGGGGGGAGGGGCAAGTCCCAAACGCAAGCAAAAACATTGGCGTTAGGGTCTCATAATGGCTTGAAGTGGCCGAACACACAAAGATAGGGTTTCCCACTAAGGTGAGAGTCTTAAAGGGGAAATGCGAATTCTCCTGGAATTTCGCATCATAAAAACAAGTAGCAAAAAAAATCAATTTCCGTCAAAACAACTCGCGTATGTCTTCACAGGTGAATGAACGGGACGGCGCAGCTGGCTCAAACGAAAGCGCAGGTCAAAGCTTTGACTTCGCTCCTACTAGATTTTTTGGACAGCAACGCCAAAACGCTTCTAGCCTTTTTTACATCTTAACCGCCTTTAATCTACCGCTGCGTCCGCCATGTGCCCTCTGCGCTCGTAGATCGTTGCCGCATCTCCGCGAATGCGGTTTTGTGCATGGTGGCTGCGGCAGACGGTTTTGTTTTCAATCCACGTGCCTTCAAAACTAAGTTGTATTATGCTATGTATGATCGCAAACTGCCGTGGTTTTCTCCACAGAGTCTGCGGAAAGCAGCGTGGCATTGACTGGTCGAGCGTTGGCCTCATGCACAATTTCGGAGTTCTGTCAGTAACTTGTCGCCATACATAATTGTGTCGAACGACCGTAGTTTCGTCCACAGCGGTTATGGCGACGACAACCACACGCACTGTAGAAAACAGTGTGTGCGCTGGCCACACGCGTACTTCCTAAGCTTCGAGCACGCTGCTCTCGATCAGCCTTCGTTCGACGGTTTCGGTACTAAAGTTCACATCACACGCCGCAATTAGGAAAGTGTTCAGAACATTTGAATTTCGGCCCAATGAAACCATGAATTTGGCTGGGGAATTTCACAAATCCGTATTTGCCGTGGTTTCGCATCACAGATTCTACTATACGTTTAGATGAACTGCCTCTCAAATGCGTTTATGACAAAATGCGGTGGGCTCGCAAAAAGCCTGGAACGGACTTGCCTGCATTTTTGTCAATGCGGCCAGATCTCGTACATTAATTTAAATTTCAGGGAGATTTTCATGGCAACCCTACAAACAGAAGAAACTGTCGAAATCCGGGAGTCTCCCAGAAAATGTGGGCGACTTGGCAGCTATACGATGATAACACCAATACCATACAAGTCTCAAAGGGGTGTGCAAATACTCCCAAAATTTCGTGCCATCAAAACAACTAGCAAAATTTATTTCCATCAAAACAACTTGAGTGTGTCTTCCCGGGACACACGTGAAAGGACGGGACAGCTCAGCTGGCTGCAGCGAAAGGGCGAGTCACAGCTTTGGCTCTGTTCTTCATCAAATTCTTTGAACAGGAACGCCAAAATGCTTCTAACCTTTTTTCTTTTTTACGTCTTTACTGCCTTTAATCTACCGCTGGGTTAGCCACATGCCCTTGGAGCTCGTAGATCGATCGCTATCGCTTCGCCGCTAACGCGGTTTTGTGCGCGGTGGTTGCAGCTAAGTGTAGTTCTGTTTTCTACCCGCGTGTATTGGCTGCGCACATGCCTTCAAAACTAAGCTGTTTTATGCTATGATCGCATCTGCCACGGTCTTGTCCATAGAGTTTGCAAAAAGCAGCATTGCTTTGACTGGCCGAGCATTGTACGCCCGTACACTTTCGGAGTACTGTCAGCAACGTCGTCGCCATACATGATCGTGTCAAGAACGTCCACGGTTTCGTTCACAGCAGTTGTGGTAACCACACGCACTGTAGAAGATAGTGAGTGCACTGATCGCACACGTACTTTTAAAGCTTCGCGCACGCTGCTTTCCGAAAAATCAGCCTTCGTTTGACGGTTTTCGGTGCTAAAATTCATATTACGCGCCGCGATTAGGAAAAGTGTTGGGAACAAATTGAATTTTGACCCAGTAGACACAATAAAAATCGTCTGGGGAATATCACCAATTCGTATCTGCTGCGGTTTCACGTCATTGAGACTACTGTACGTTTCGATGAATGCTCCTTAATATTCATTATAATAAAATGCAATAGGTTCGCAAAAAGCCTGGAGCAAACTGACCTACATTTCTGTATATGCGGCCACATCACGCACAAAAATTTTGATTTCCGGAAGATTTTCATGTCAACTGTACGAACGGAAGACACTGTCAAAATCCGGGAGTCTCCCGGAATGTCCGGGAGGTATGGCAGGTATGTATATATAAAGACGCATATGCAGTAACTAAGGATAAGTTTGGATAGCATGGCAGTAACACTGAAGAGCTACATCCTGATCAGACAACATAAATCTTTCGATTTCTACTTATTATTTTATTATTTTAATGCCGGTATAAATGAATCTTCCAACTTTGGGTCAACCATGAACACCCCTATGGTCATGGTTTCAGTGTCATTGCTGTAAACGGTCATAAGAAATTTTGGGCAAAAAATTGGGAGTTCACGAGCAAGAAGCTCGAACTGAACGTTACAAGTGTAAAAAATCCCACAGTAGCTCCGCAGTTCCTGAATTATGTCGTACTGAAAGTTCTTAATTAGCTTTCACAAGCTGGAGTTCTTAAATATTCAACTCAAAAACACAAGCACTTTAACACTTAGCCACCATCAAAATGTGCGTGCCACAGCCAGGATGGAACCCCAACTTCATCCTCAGCAGTAGAACGCTATAGCAACTATGATACTGTGGTATGCTCTCATAAAAAATGACCAAACCATTTCATTTTCGCCACAACCAAAGACTCAAAGCAATTTGAAATGAGAGATCAGTCACTTCACGTGCAGTAGTCTGAACACTAAGAGCAACAAGTAAAACGTAAAATAATAAATTTCCATAGGGTGGATGATGTTACACACATGTTACACGTTATATATGATGCTTTGCCCATCATCTTTCCAGTTACTTTTGCATTATCGTGGTTCTCACATATCTGCAAGACTAAAGTGGGAAGCTCTGTACCTCAGTAAATATGACTACCGTTTGCAACTCTGTGCCGCAGCTTGGTCTATTCAAACACTGCCATTGAACAACATGTCTAGACCACCACAGACATGCTGCCCACCACAGACAAGCATACCTGCCAAGTTCAAGGATTCTGAATCGGGGAGATTTCCGCAACTGGGGGGGGGGGGGGGGGGCTGAACAGAAAAAAACATTGCGAAAAACAAGAGGGGGGTCCCAATCACAGGGTAGGGTTTCCCACTAAGGTGAGTGTCTCAAAGCATCAACACAACTAGCAGAATCTATTTCCATCAAAATAATGCGCGTGTATGTCTTCCTGGGACACATGTGAACGAACGGGATGGCGCAGCTGGCTGCCGCAAAAGCATGGGTCAAAACTACTACTCACTACTAGATTCTTTTGACAGGAACACCACAACTCGTCTAGACCCTGTTTATTGCGATAGCAATTATGTAGACCATCTAGGCTGGTTTTTTTTTGCCATCGCCCCAGTCATTCACCGTATATGTATACGCGTATGAACAGTCAAGAAAGAAAAAAAACAGCCGCACACGCTCGGTGTCTAGCTTGTTGTGATGCGCCGTCGCGCGCTTATCTCTCACGTGTACTTTGCGCCGTGAATTGAGGAGGGGGTTAGATGCTTGTGTGCGCGCACCTATCCTTTGGTGGGACAATCGCGTGCCTTCGGCTTTCACCGGAATGATTGCACTAGTTGCCGGGCCCACAAAGGTCACTTCAGTCTCTGCACGTTTGCGAAAAGAGCACGTTTTTCATACACAGCAAGGGATAATAACTGGGACACTTGTTTATACCCATCTGTACCAGTGACTATATATCGTGCATCATTTTTGTTTAAACAGTGCATTACAAGTGGAGCGGTAAACATTAGTTCACTCTCATCCTGTGCATATCATTTTCGTGCGTCATTTGTGCGTGAGCACCATGCTGCACGTTTCTATCTGCTTGCCAGTTCTCAGCGTGGCACTTCGAAAGTTTTTGCTTTCGCATTCATTGCTTCGCCCTTGCGGCAAAACTGACTTTTTTGTTTTACGTATTTACTGCCTTTATTCTACTGCTGCGTGGTCTCGCAGCTCGTAGTTCACTATCGCGTTGCCACGACTGCGGTTTCACGCACTGTAAAAGACAGTGCATGCGCCAGTTGCACGTGTACTTCTGAAGCTTCGAGTATGCTGCTCTCAGCCTACGTTCGACAGTTTCTGTACTAAGGTTTGTATCACCCGCCGCGATTAGGAAATGTGTTCGGAACATTGGAATTTAGGCCCAACAGACTTAGTGGAATTCTGCTGGGGAATTACAAGAATTCGGTTCACCGCAGCGCCCTTGGCATGAACATAGTGGAATAAACATGGTTTCATTCATTCACTCACGAATTCCTGTCTGCCGCACTTTCGCATTACAAAGATCCTACTCTACGTTTAGATTAACGCCTCTTAAACTCATCTATAATAAAATGGGGCAGGTTCGAAAAGACTGCAGCAGATTGAGCTGCTTTTTTGTCAATGCGGCCAGATCACGCATAGAAATTTTGATTTCCGGGAGATTTTCATGACAACTGTACAAAGGGAAGAAACAGTCGAAATCTGAGAGTGTCCCGGCCAATCCGGGAGACTTGGCAGGTATGGACAAGGATATCAAAAAATTATTTTATGCCGCACCATATGTACTAAGATACTATCTACTAAGATTTGCGATTCTTATCAATGAATCAACAAAAGAAACACTCTGAAAAACATCCCAAGTTCGTTTTCCATAATTGGCATCCCTAGAGTGTGACGAATAACAATTTTTCAAAATTTAAACGGCTATCTTCTATGAAAAGAACTAAATAAAGTGTTTATCACTGATATCTGCCAATAATGAAATAAATGTGACACACTCAACTGTATGATTAAGAAAACCACAAAGCTTTCTTTCTAAGAAACCATATGAATTCCTTTCACAGCTTCATGTTACAAAGAGATGAATTTTAATGAGATCTCGGAGACAATCACACCAAGGAACATGCAGATGTTATTAGAGGTAATTATAATGTAAATGTAACAAATAAAAGTGAACAAAAAGATAACTTGCACGGGCAGAGACCAAACCTGGAGCTAACGAAAAAAAAAAAAAAACGAGCACAATTTTCTTTCCACAAATGTTCCTTTACCTTCTGGGCTTCTCCAGAACAACCGATTAAAGGTATAAACACATAACAAATAGTGAATATAGTAAACATATTGTTGCACTAACTGCAAATTCATTATGACAACCCAAATTTATCAATTCCTTATCTGTCTAATAAATTGCAATTGATATCATAATAAACCAGTTAAAAATAACAATTCTGACTATTTTGCTTTCCTTGGCCTAGTTGTCTGCTTGTTTATTTATTTGTGCCTAAAAAAACGAGCCCCTCAAAATAAATTTTCCCCTTTTATAATCATTAGTCCTCGAATCAGGCACATCATAAAAATGGTTTTATACAACTTAACACCTTCTTGCAGAAACATTTTGTGCTAAAAGATTACTATGTGTGGAGTTAAAAAAAGCCATTAGTAAAAATGGTGAGCCTAACAATAACGCTAATGAAATATTTCAAAAAGTCGTCCTAAGGTCTCATAAAAACTTATTAGCTTAAGCATCGTCAAGCTTTTAGAACAGCACTGTGTGCAAATGTAACACTTCATTTCTTGAGGTCTATCAATTTATTGAATAATAGCACACTAATACATGTAAACCGGCAATTACATAAAAATCATCATAACAATTATTACCACTGTTTTCATCTGCAACCACTTTTAATTTTATTTTCAAAATAATTGCACTCCAGTTCAAGCACTATTGGAAGGCACGCATATATGCAAGTATTTTATGATTCATACTACTCTATGTGCAAGTACAACATCATACTTGCCCGTCTTGCTTTCATATTTAGAAATGTAAGACATTCTCAATTTATCACACATGCAAACAATTGAATTTTCCATTTTAAAACTTCGATATCATAAGCATAACAAAATCTACACTAGCTACATGGCCTAGTTTTTACTAGGTTACCATGCTTCATTACCTGAACAGGATTCTTGGTTTCCAGTGGACGAACCAGCAAATGCGAGCTTTGATGAAGACCCAATCTCATAACTTGGCTTTGAACAAGTTATTTCCACATTGTCATCATTTTTCACATTCTACAGGCATAATGAAAGAAAATTTTATGAGATCAAAACTACTGCTAGCTAGATGGTGCCACATAAGAAAATCACATTGTTTTTTACTACAGATTGTGCCTTACTATGCCACAAAACAACAGTATATGCTGCATAGTTACCTGTGCCTAAGTGATGATATATTAAACCTTTTTAAAATAGGTTTTGACCACACTGCAGACAGTCTAAAAATAAGCCATATTTGTTTACAGGCAAGAAAACTTGATAGATGTTCAGTAAAACTTCTATAAAAAGCTTTATATGGGGCTACATGCAAGCAAATATATTTGTAAAACAAAAAGACAAAAAAAAATTATGAATGTTCAAGTGTTGCAGTACACATGCAAAATGTCAACAATTAAGTTACATTTATCCTTTTATTAGAATCGGGCCTCATGACATAACTTTAAAAAAAAAAGTGATGGCATGGGGGGTGGGGGGTCTCAGCAACTCTGTAGGTATGTGTGCGCAAGTATATATAATACTCAGGCAAGATTTTAGTGCAAACAGCTACACAGCTCACACTAAGCTATTTTTAAAATTACCACATCCAATGTCATGCAATATCAGGTACAATCGTATGTACAAGCACTTAAACATTTTGTACCTGGGATATATCAATAAAGCCAGACAACTTCATGTTGTAAACGAGGCTGCCAGAATCCAGACCTGCTCCTGCAAGAAATCAATAAAAATGTTTCAACCCATCAGTCCTCTAGTGTCCACTCGGATACTTTGCTTTTTGTAGTCTTCCTCAAGATACAACTCAAAAGCGATTATGTGGGATACTATTCTTCAATACATTATCTGATGCCTAAAAACAAGTGATTCAGTTTAAATAGCTTATTTAAGATGTTTGCAAAAAAATAATGCCAATTTGTTCCATGCCACATATCATGACATGTGAAAGTGTCTTTTACATCAAGGCTACCTGCCATACTTTTTTTAAGAAATTTCAGGTTAGCAGAGTTTGTAAAAATTTGTTCACTTGGCAAAATATCTGAAGTGATGCAGACTCGGGACATTCATGAAATATCAAAAGCAGAAATTTTAACAGCTAATGTTAACCTTACTAATGTTAAGAAAATAATAAAATGTTCAATTTGGTGAAAACAAAATTACAAGGACCCCAAATAGTTTTGACCGTTTTGTACAAACGTATCAAGCCAGCAATGCAAGTCTTTCAGACCATTAACACACCGTTGTGAGTGTAATGGGCGATGCCTGCAGCTTGCGCCTGTGCTCATGCACCGCGTTAGATTTGTTAGCAGCGGATCATGCACTGCAGGCATCACCTGTTGCACAAGTGGGGAGGGCACGTAATCTAGCAGCACTTGTCTAGCAGCCATGACTCATTATCTTGTCTCACAATAGATGACGCCTTGTTTGGCAATAGACGCCAAAAGTGGATGTGTTCCCTTTTGCTGTTGGCTGATGGAGCTATGGGCAACCGTTGCAGAGCACAGGCCCCGGGCTCCCGTGTTTCCTTTCACAAAGGACGACGGTGTATTCTAACAAAGCCTAACAAAAGACATACATGCCTAACAAAAGACTCTTGTGCCTAGAGCAACAGTAGAGCTCAGTAAGCAGAATGATGCCATACCAACATGCCCCAGCTGAAACCTTACTAAGCCCCGACCACCGATTTCCGGTGCTCCTGATGGCACGGCAAAGCAGTGCGAAAGAGGATATTTGATTACCAGTACATACCTTGATAGCGGGTGTTCTGCTTATGATATGGTGCGAACGATTTGATAATGCTGTAGCCTATCTACTTACACAACACCACAAGAGCAATTTCGCTAATGATGAACCATGGTCCTTGTGTTTTTACAAAATTTGCTTGCTCTATTACAATTGTATAAGTTTATTTCTTGCTTTATTACAATTGTATAAGTTTATTTATTTATTTATTTAATTTGTCAAGTACTGTCAGCTTTTAACAGACCATAACAGGGAGTGGGTCGAGGTGTATACATAAGAGTATTTTGGCTTTAATAATTTTAGCTTAGAGGCTGACCAGAACAACTATAAATTGTAACTATTATGCTACTGCGAAAAACATTAATATGCAATTTACCACTTAACTTGACAAGGAGCTTTCCATTCGGCTTTAGTAGACCGATAATGTTAACAAAGGTGTCACGGCTCGGCCTCATCTTCGGCGTAACAAACCCAACGAGCACGACATCAAAACTGGATCCTGGGTGTTCAGCTAAAAGGAAGACCAAAAACAAAGAACAGTTCGTTAAAAACTGCGACTTCATTCAAGAGCAATGTTACACATTTTTCGCGATACACCCAACATGCGGCGGCATGTTGAGAAGAGCAAGCACGGCAAGTAAAGAAGTAGCCACGACAAAAAGTGAAATGGGTGAGATCATCAACTGCTGTGAAAGTAAAACAAGATAAAAGCTGAGAACATGATGCAATACTTACATTCGAGCATCTTTTCCACATTTTCAAAATGACAAAGTTCAGCGTTTTTCACCAGAGCTGCAACTTTCTGTTTGAGAACCGTGGCTGTTCCACCGTCGATGTGACCTTCCCACAAAACCAGCACCTTGTCTCCAACTTTGAGGATTTGCTCCATAGCTGAAATTATAACAGTAATGGCACTAAATGTTAGAAACTTGCTTAAAGAACGAACTGCGCAATCCACAAGAAACGGTGCCCTGCCGCGGACATTACTATGCTGAATGAGCTGAACGACTCCTGCTAGCTTGAAGTAAACATTGCACGTAGACTATATTCTACTGCAGCCTGCAGTCATCACAGCAATGCTTTATAATGTGAAACGCCCTTGAACAAAGAGCGAAAACAAAAAGCGGTCCTCACCTAAACAATGTTTGTGCGCCTGCGACACTTCTAGTACACTCTACCCGCCGTCTACTTAGCTGTCTGTTTAGCCGTCTACAATGAGCAGTGTTGCCAACCTGCGGAGTCACTTATTCTCTCTCTTGAGTGAAAGAATTCTCCATATTTCCCTTGATTTTCGTGGAGAGCGGTTTTTCAAAGACTAATGTGTTTGTGCTGTGGAAAACGATTTCAAAGTTCACTTTTATGGCATATAGGTGCATTCTTTTGTGCATTGGTTTGAAAATATTCACTAAAATCACCATGCTGAAGGTGAAAAAATGTCGCAGTACGAATTGCAAAGCTTTAAACACTATTTTATTTCATGAAATCACAGTGGTAAAACGGTCATCCCATTGGGGGGTAGGGGGCATGTAGTTTTGCAGTGTTTTATACAAATCACCAAGAAACAAGAAACCATTCCGTCTACACACAATTATACAACATTTCAAGAAACAGTACATATATCATTAAGCATTGCATATAGGCCGAAGAAGGGATAAAGTATCGAAATAATATTCAAAAACACTGCTATAGCTGTTCCATGCAAAAGACGTAAATCTTACACGACGATAGAGTGCACTCATAATCGCATGCATGTGACTACTACAACAACAGCAACATAATAATAATAATAATAATAATAATAATAATAATAATAATAATAATAATAACAACCACGAGCATACAAAGCGCAGTACATGTAATATTCCGGTAAGCAAGCGCAAAAAATTTATCAACTCTGTTATTTTGCGACTCTCCAACAGAAAATGTTTTGTATTGTTCATATGAAACATTAAATAATGCACGCTTTCACAACTTATAAACAATGTCTTGAAAAACATGCTCTGAAGCTTTCTCATATGATATATGATACAAGATATTGTGACGAAAAATAGTTTAAGCATGAAAGCTTGTAATGCCAGTTGGCAGTTCATCCTTCGCAACCTGCCGAAAGGTTGCGAAAAGGTATGTTTATTAGAAATGTTGACTGTCATATATTCGTTCGTAATATATCCTTACAGTTTTCCACCAGTCACTTTTTTTTTTCAACCGTGTTTTTTTTTTTCAGCTGTGCAAATAACCGCTGGTTATCAAGGGTAACTAACTGGATTCCCAGAGAAGGCAAGCGGGCTAAGGGGAGATAGACGGTTAGGTGGGCAGATGAGATTAAGTTTGCGGGTATAAATTGCCAGCATCAAGCACAGGACCGAGTTGACTGGCGGAACATGGAAGAGGCATTTGTCCTGCAGTGGACGTAGTTAGGCTAATGATGATTATGATGAAATAACCGCATATATACATGCAGCCTACTGCTCTGGCCGCGCTTTTGACAGAAACCTTGGTGACCTTGGCGGAGCCACATGGCTCCACGGGGCAGCTACTAGCAACGTGACAGCATTCGCAAAGGGAAACCAATAAAAAAAAACAGCAACGGACCAAAGAAATAACGCCGCGGGTGAAAGGAGAGAAAATGGGCGCTAGGTTGGTGTAAAGAAAACATATACTTGGTGGGCTAGGGAAAGACAACTTTCTTGTTCTTTGGTTCGAGTCGGGATTCAGGAAATCTACGTCGAACACGACGGCAGAGAATAAACCGCAATGTAAGGGGGGGGGGGGGGGAGGGGCGATGACACAGCGTTGGCAGCTGGATGGATGGATATGAATGTACCTTTTAAATCGGGTGGTGGCTAGCGCCATTAAGCCGTAATACTTAATGAAACGAAAACCAGATTTTTTTTTTAATAGTAACGTTGAGGATTCGTACTTTGCAGTGAAGAGTTTAATTTTCACTCGTGCCTTGACTTTAGCCACCAATCAGATAACTTCCTTCTAGTTAATTCTACCCGCTTAAAGTCTATTTTGCCCTCCCTTTCCCTAAACCCCAGTGCTTTGAAAAACTCTGCGCCATCTTCCTGAACTATAGGTTGAAGTCCTTTACAGAACATTATCAAGTGTTCGGCAGTTTCTTCTTCCTCTCCACAGGCACTGCTTACCGTGTCCACCCCTTCGTATTTGGACCGATATGTCTTGGTTCGCAGTACTCCCGTCCTGGCCTCAAACAGTAGAGAACTACCCCGAGTATTATGATAGATAGTTTCCTTGGTAATTTCCTGCTTAAAAGTTCGATAGATCTCTAGTGCGGACTTCTTAATCATGCCAATTCTCCACATATCGGTCTCAGCTTCCTTCACCTTCTTCTTGATTGATAATTCCTTTTGGTTTGGCCCCCTGCTGTTTTCTAAGTATTTACCAGTCAATTTTCTGGTTCGCTTCCTCCATTTTGTATCGACATTCTTCCGCGGGTGGTGCGCACATTTGCCTAGTCTTGGCACTTGTGGGCGGCGTACTAGCTTGCGGCTTCAATTATTGCTGTGTTTAGGTTTTGTTTTGAAAGAAATATTCAACCCTTTTCAAGTTTGTGACCCGAATAAGGTGGTGAAGCGCAACCGCTGAACATTTGCTGATTTTCGTTTCGTGAGAAAACTGCTTCAAGCCACACGAACACACACTGAACCAAAAGCAGGCCAGCAGTACGAAGATTAGACAATTTCACAGAGGAAGGAAAGATAGGGGCATAGAGTTTCATACAATAATAGGTAATATTGTATGAAACTCTATGTTCTGTGATGTCACTCCTCTGGCGTCAGCGCGCCACGCGTGGCTTTCTTGATGCGGTGCCGCGCCCTCTCTCCATTGCATGGCTAAGCGATTCTGCACGCCTGAGGGCGCGGCGCCGCATTCAGGCACTGCGCCGTGTCGCCTCTCGGCAGACGGAAATTAGGTACCTTCTTCCTTTTCCTCATGAACCACTAACAACAATGTCACGCTGACGGGGTGCAACAGGAACAGGTGCGTATGGTAAGGCCACAGAACACCTACCAGTGGTAAGGCCTACTCACAGAACGTAGGACACCCATATACTACCAATTAGAGAAGGGAAACTGTACATTTAACAATGAATGAAAAAAGAAGGGTGGAGGTGGTGTTTTGAACTAACTTATCCGACCTAGAGACGGCGCTGGTAGGCCTATTCATGCTGGGCTCAATGATGTGTTGAAGGGCAAGGACCAGAACCTTCTGAGAAAGCTAGAGGATGGGATGCGTAAGCTCAGAAAAGCCTCTGGGAGTGCGAATGTGACCATATGCACAGTCCCAGAGGTGTGGGGGCAGCCTCGTGGGATTGAAAGGAGGGTAGTAGAGGCCAATTGTGTGATCAAGGGTTTGAGCAGGCAACTCGGATACAGCGTAATGGAAGTTAACCAAGACGTGTACGAGCCCGGCGCTCGCCCCTTTGCGCAGGATGGCATTCACTACAGTGGTGCGGCGGGCAGGAGGGTCGGTAACAGAATGGGTCGCCAAGCCATAGCTTTTTTAGGGGGACCCAGAACTCTGAGGCCAACAGTGTAGCCAAAGACGGACCTAAAGGGGCGCAAATATTCAAGCCACACGAAGTCCGTGAGAAAAGGAATCGACATAAGCATAAAGACTGAGCTAAGTCAAACGTAGGCTATATTAACATGCAGGGTGGCAGGAATAGGTTAAAGTGGGAAGAGATGCGATGGACGAGCAGTTGAGGCAGGAGGAGCTGATGGTATATGGAGTTGTGGAGACACGTCTTCGGGACCTGGAGCAACCACCCTGCAATCCAGGCTACGTATGGGAATATTGCAATAGAAAAGAAGGCAGCAAAAAGGGGGGTAGAATTGGTGCATTTACACATAAGAGCATGGGTTGGCAAAGAGTCAAGCAGGGATGCAAGGAACATTTATGGCTAAAAGGGAAAGTGGCAGGGCAAATGATTCTCCTTGGTTTCGTGTACTTGTGGACGGGAGCAAAGGCCAGAGAGGAAAACCAGGCAATGGTAAAGTGTATATCAAATTACATTCAGGAGTTAGGAGGAGAGTGCGAGATAATTATACTAGGAGATATGAATGCACACATAGAAGATATAGATGGGTATACTGACTCAACAGGCAAAATGATCATGAATTTGTGTGAAAGGCATGATTTAATCATTTGCAACAGTACTGAGAAGTGTGAAGGGCGAATAACATGGGAGATAGGAAGGCTGCTGTCAACGATATATATTATGCCCTGATGTCACATAGGATGTATGATAAGCTCAGGGGAATGCACATAGATGAAGGTGCCTCCAGAAGTCTGGGAAGTGATCACAAACGTATCGATCTAAGTTTTAGAAGAGAAGCGAAAGTGGGAAGGAGACAAGATGAGCAACCACAGGAAAATTTTCATTCAGAAAGGCAAATAGAAATTGCTACTAAGCAAATTGAGAAAGTAATCACTCAGGGTAATAAAACTGTGTGGACATACACAAACCTAATTAGACTGTTTGGGCTAGAGCTTGCTAAGGCACGTGACAAGTCACCCCGGAACAGAAGACACAAGCCAAGAGTTTGTGGGATGAGGAAGTTAAGAGAGCCATAGCAAAACGTGAGGAAGCCTCTAGGGAATACAAACATGCTAAGCAGCGGGGTGAACCGACAGATGATGTTGAAAGAAAATGGGAAATCTTTCTAAGCTGTAGAAGGGATGCATGCCTTCTGATCAATGAAAAGATTAAAGAGAGCTCAGTGGCTGGCAGAAGTACATAAAAAAAGATAGAAAGGCAACTGCAAAATTTTGGAACCATCTAAACTCCCTAAGAAATGAGACGAGCCTAGAGCAGAGGTTTATAACTACAGCTTAAGGTGCTAGGCTAGAAGGGGACGAAGCTATTGAATATATAAGAACAAGGGTGACAGAAAAATTTCAACAAAGAAGTGCCTTATGCACCACAATAGACTGGGATTGATCAAGTGGCACAATGGCTCCATTTTCCCAACGAGAGTGGAAAAGGGCTGAGAAGAGGGTTCCAAGTAGTACATCAACAGGCCCAGATGGCATTCCAATTATGCAGATAAAGACATGGGGTCCGAAGTCTAAGCAGGCTTTGAGAGAGGCAGTGAGCAAAATAATAATCGATGGTGACGTTCCCGATGGATGGAAACTTAGCAGGATGAGCAAAATCTATAAAGGAAAGGGGGACAAAGCT